GCTCTTGGAGCAGTCGATGCTTTCACTCCATATATTCACAGACAAGTCTTTAGTAAAAAATACTTAATTGGAAAATCTAATTTTTTTTTTGTGTGTACAAAACATTTGTAATGTTTACTGAAAGCTTGCTGACTTTTGTGAGGATACATTTGCTGTATTAGAAATTACTGTATGGAAACTTGAATGATTACTTCGTGATTATGAAGCTGGTCAAATCGACTGGACCTATGTCGAAAATATTATGGTTGTAAAAAAATTGTTACTTCATTTCTTGTTTTATTTTTTTGGATTTTTATGCAGTTGTAATTTGATACTTAGATAAGATGTACATTAGTTATTGGTTATGTTTTGTGGTTTTATGTCTTATAATTTGTAGGTATACCCACATTATTAATAAAAATAATTTTAGAAAACATATCACACTTAATATTTTGTGATTATTTACTCTCAGAATATTCACAAACTTTTTAAAATTCAAAACCAGTTTCCCAGGGTTTACTACTTTGAGCTGTTGAATGTTATAAATATTTTGTTTTGTGATGCACATATGTTGTTCATTCTATGTCAATAGACATTCTGTGACTTACTACAATAAATGTTTTACAATAATTTCTAGATATTTTGTTATGCACTAAGCCCTGATGATGGCACAACCTTCCGTAACAAAATAGCTACAGAAGCTGAACATTTCATTGATCTCTCTCAGGTAAGTTTTTATACTGTTTAACAAATGGAGATTGTAATTATAATTTAAATTCATGGGGATGGAACTTCTGTAATTAATTATTTTAGGAACTTTGAATTTTCTCATCATTAACAAGTTATTCCAGTACAGGTGGGTAAAGTATGTTGTATTTCTCTATTTTTATTGTTAACTTTCAGATCATTTGTACATGATTATCTGAGATTAATGATTTATGAAGCTCCAATATTTAAGTGATTCATAAGCAGGGGTTTGAAGACTTTTTTTTTTTAATATGGACTGCTTCTGTTTTGGTTCGTGTAATAACCTTTTGGGCTCTATTTATAGTACTCAATCAACTAGTTGTTGTAACATGAAAGTTTAACCATATCTCAATGGTCACGTGTCAAAGGCCATGTCATCACGTTTGTTGACTGGCATTCAAAATTTTATTGAAATACTATTTTATAAATATGTCAATAGGTTTGGTATCAAATTGTATATTATAATTCAAATTCTAGTATTATACATTCGTTAATTTCTTAATTTAAAAGTTAATATTCAAAAAACACAGCTAAACATCAGTTTTTTTGTGTGTGTGTTACTTGGTATGTTGAATGCAGCACTAATTCAAATTAGATGTTTGTCATGTCAAAAATACAAAATATACAGTTTCGTACAAATTAGGGATGTAAACTACCAATATTGACAAGCTAGAATATAAAATAAGAAGTCTTTTCTATTTCCTAAGAAATCTCTTCTGTACTGAATCAAATGCAGGGGCCCCGCCACCCACGTCACATTTTTGGAAAAGGTCCCTCATATACACTTACTTCAATATATGACTTGAATAACCAATCAAAAGCTCAGAATGTACCCTAGTGGTTTTCTTAGCCAATTTGACGTGTTGTGCTAATTTCATTCTTTTCACACAAGATTTCAAACGATGAAGTAAGTGTTTAGTGATCTCGAAATTTAATATTTTTTTAGAACCAAATACAGCTTAGTTACTACGCTTGATAAATTATAGTGGAATTCTATGGTATTGATTTAGTAATTTATGATTTTTTAGGTTAATTAAAATGTATATATAAAACCTGAAAAAAATTATTTTTACATCTTCCACGTTGGAAATTTCATAAGGCTTAGCAACCTACTACAAGTGGCAAACAAGTACAAAGGTTTTAACTAGTATAGATAATTGTTTGCTTTACTTTATTTACTGTTCTGTGTTTGTAAATAGAAAAATGTATATACATATATAATGCATAATAGTTGAAATGTGACTGTATTTTACAGATGTGCTGCATCATTGTAACTTCTGTATTGTTAGCTAGGCACGGTTGGAAGGTCAATATAATAACAATAAATATCTATAAATGTATAACGTTAAGAGATTTAAGGTAGTTAGACTAAAATTTTGTGTTTTCGTGTTATAATTTGAAGTCATTCTAGAACGAAAAAAGCATAATTTATAGTTTTCATAATTTTTTTATTGAGGTTACGAAGTTAGTCATATCGAACCAACCCATTCAGTAATACACGCGTGAAAATAACAAATAAAATATAGTTTTTTAAACAAAAACTTCGAAAATTATCTGGAGATTATAAAGATTTTGTGTGTGAAATTAGGAAATGTTCTAATGCATTAAAGTAAAGATGTGGGACATTGTGGGCTAGAGCACCCACATATGGCTGCAGACAGCGAAAGGTGGTAAAGATGTGGGATAGAGCACCCACATCTGCCCAGATTTTTTTCTTTCTTTCTTAATCATGTGAGGCTGGTGAAGTTGAAGTTAAACTGGATAGATGTTGTATCCTCAATGCACTTTGGATCTTATTTCCAACAGTACTTCTAAAAACCAGGTCACATTACATAATGACCCACCTTATGATTTGTGCCATCAGTGTCAGATGTTTGTGTTGTGACTACAATTTTTGTTTTCTCTTTCTTTCATAAATTTAAATTTAATTATGTATATATAATCATACAATTATATATATATATATATATATATATATATA